GTGGAGCTTGAGGTTTTCGGGTCGACCATGGTGACACTTTTTCGAGAATGGTCCAAGAGGCGAAATCCTCCTCTACAACCTCCTCTTCCTGGCATCAGCAAGCAGCACTGTCGAAGATCTAGGTTGGGTCGCGACGCTTGAAGCTTGGAACAGCCACATTGCGAAAACCTGACCCAAGCTGCTTCTCGTCCAATTTCCGGAAACCCAAGCTGTGTGCTCGACCATCATACATCAAACCAGCAATAGCAACAGCAGCAACAACAACAAGAAGAAACAAAAAAAAACATCACAACCGCAACCATGACCACAACCACGACCAACTTCCCTAACAGCCCCACAACCGCAACAACCGCCACAACCGCAACCACAAACGCAACTGCAACCACAACCTGAACCGCAAATAAAAACCACAATCATAATCACCACTACCACCACCACAAGCACCACAACCGACGAGGACGGACATGTCCGGCATGACGCTACTCGAGTTCCTAGTCACTAGTCTGCACATTGCATGGACCGGGAAGAACAAGACGGTGCCAATGACAACGGCAACATTAGCATCACTCACGCTAAGCCTGTAACGTTCATACGGTCAGTCGTGACTACAACTGCTCGGGGAATGATGCCTCATGGTGCCTCTTAATCATTTGACCGGAAAGCACCATTTTGGAACAAGACTCCAAACCCAACGACGCCCCGGAGCCTCGAGCCTTGAATCTGACTGGCGAACGAAAGCGGACAGCCCAAGCCCCGAACACCGAGCAGGAGCAGCCCTGGGCTCCTCTTCCTCCACCTCCGTCTCTGTCTCGCCCCCACTCATGTCGGGGTAGAGTTCGCGCCCTTCCTGACAGCGATGCTCCAGTGCAGAGGGTTTCGGGTTCGGGCAGCACTTACGGGCTACGACCCTCAATCCTATGGAGACAGTTCGTGAAACGCGGTGTAGTGTTGAGGATCGAGGGCCACAGTCGAGTCCTGAACCCTTCATAGCCCTGTATATACATATATATATATATATACATATACATACAGAAATATATATATATATATATATAGATGGATAGATTTAGATATATGATAGACAGGTAGGTTTGCACCTAGGGCGATGAAGGAAGAACCTTGTTATTGCTAAGTGACGTTTGAGGGTTCGGCGTCTGACCTCTGAGCTACGGCTTCAACCTTTCCGGCCGGACCGGCTTTCAGGCGTTTAGAGCCTGACCTGAGGATCTGCAGGCAGGTCCTGAAAGCTTACGGGTGTAGGGTGTGTATAAACTGGGACTCAAATACTCAGAGCAGCGTGCTTGGGGATTAAACCCGATCATGACCGAAAAGGTAGCAAATCAAACGGGTAGAGCAGAACGAATTGCGAATGGTTGAGACTCCGCTAGCGAAGCTCACGGGACTTGGTGTCTGCGGTGTGCCAGTGCTGAGATCCTGCCCATGTAATGCCATAAACTCCTCTACAACAAGATCATATAAAATAGTACAGCATCGACTGATGTATATACCACCGCGGGACATGTATCTCGAATTGAAGCCCAAAACGAACTTAGGACCTGTAGATTTCTTGCTTGAGCCTTCTAGCCAAGTCTTTTCGGTCAGGAGCTCGGAACTTTGGGTCAAGCTTCGGGGAAACTCAACTGTAGTCTACCGAATCCCAATGCCCTGTGATCAAAGTATTTGATATGTTCTCGATCGGCACCTCCACGTTGATCTCCGATCCACTCATCATCGAAACATTGCCATCATTGCTGTCCTGGCCAACCGAGATAGGTTGTGCGAAGGCTCTGGGGAGAAATTGACCGTGTGTGCAAGGATCTCAAGGTTCAACTCCTGCATCAGCAGGGACTTTGTCTGAGCCGATGCAGTAAGTCGCAAATTTCACACCACGTGATGCCTAGAAGCCATTAACCCCAATTCCCCAAGGTGAAACACCAGGGCTGCAAACTCTCGAACTTAACTCTGTGAACCCTTTCGAAGGCAAGCCCAAACCTTCCCACAAAGACCCTCCGGACAGGCACTAATCCGTATAAACTCCGAATTACAAGAACACGAAACTACTGCATCTACATGAAAGAAGAGCAGACGAATAGCAATGCATGAAGGCAAAGGACACAGTTGAAGACAAATGAAACAAATTTGAAGCCAAAAGAACCCCACCCAAAAAAGTACACAATCAAAAACACATGAAGGCAAAGGACAGAAGTTGAAGAGAGAGATGACACAAATTCGAAGCCTCCCAACTCAAACACACACACACACACACGCACAAACGCCGGCGAGGGTTCTTCATAGCCCATCCACCGCCACTCCGGAGCCTTGCGGCCTCTGTGAGTCCCAACTCGGTAAAGTCATGATCTGGCCTAGGAACAGTAGGAATAGCAAATGAGAAAAGACAAAGAGTTTTCAAACTTGATCTGAAGCCCAACATGGGGGAGTGTGCCGGGCCGCAAGCAAAGTGCCGAATCTTTACAAGACTTGACCTAGCCGTGCTTTATATGTCATGAAAAGCAAGGATTTAAACATGCAACACTATATGTTTTCTTTCGGCTGGGTTCATTCCACATCGCTGAGGAAACTGATGTTGTGAGGCTGAGTCCTGGCCCGTTGAGCTCTGAGAACTTTTGGACGTCTGCTTCCGCCGCGGAGGAGCCTGGTTTGGGCATAGGGCTTGAAGGGTTCTCAGAGGGTTGCGAAGGATTCTCGGGACATACCTGGAGTTATGAGCCTTGCGGGGTTCTTGTGGCTTTTCGGGCTTGGAGTTGAGGGTATCAAGGTCACGGTGCTGCCCATTGAGGATTCTTTTCGGTCGGGAGATTTGCCCAGGAGCCTGGGGTTGGGACGATGGGTGTCACGTTCGACCTCTCTTGAGTCTGCTTGTCTGAATCATTGCTTGATTTCCAGTGGCTGACATGGAACCGGAGGCCATGAAGAAGTCTTGCATCTAAGCACTTCAGGATAGTATGGGTCCTGGCTGCTGAAGTCTTCGGGTGCGGACTGAGGTCTATTCTAATAGGGTAGATCATGTTGTGTCGTTGCATCAGCTTTTGGGAGTAGGAGGCCCATAGGCCTTTTGCGCTTATTGGGTTCAGGGTTCGACGTTCCCTCCGCATTTTTCACACATCCGTTCTTCGGGCCGTATCTTGATTGCTTCGGGGATATGACTTCCGGGGGCTCTGGAAATTCTCTCGGGTTCGGGGGTTCGGGCGCTTGGGGTTGGAAGGCCGACAAGCTTCCCACTTTATGTTACATGGTTGCAGCGATGTAACACACTTTGTGGCAGCGTATGGCCGGAGAATGTGGGCGCCGAACGCGTGTTTACTGGTCATCAGATTTTCAAGACGTGTAGGTTGCAGAATTGTCCCGGCATGTACAGCGATGCCTTTTTCGTTTAGTCCTTCTTTTGGGGCTTCGTCGTCCTAAAGGGATTGAAAGGGTTTGGGTTTCTTCACCGCAGGAATCTTGGATTGCCATCCTGTCGAAGGCAATTTCACTGGTAAAATGAAATAACTACCCTCCCAAGCCCAAAGCAAAATTACCTGGAAACAAAGACCTCGTCGCAGCAGCTGCAAAGCCTTTACTTTTTCTCGCGCCTCAGAAGGTCTCACGGAAGATACCTGCCTTGTATGGTTATCGAACTATTTACATCCACATGTAGCCATCCGACATCACTAGGTACACAGCCACCAACACAAGCTGTGAGGATGCCTCGCCCTGGGATGTGTTCGACGTCCGAGACAACCGCGCGGCCTCCTGACTCTGCCACTCTCGTGCAGAGCCATCACACTTTGACGTTCTGCTATAGAGCTTGCTCAAGATGAGTCATGGCATGCATTTCAGCTCTGGGGAACCTGCAATACTAGCAACATGCCGAAGGACTAGAATGTAGAACAGCACCCACATCGTTTTTGGTACCAAACACCCATGATCTGACACGGACACCCCGTAAGAGGTTTGACTAAAGCAGCGTCTCGAAGATTGCAGGACGATGCAGGCGTGCGGACAAACCCCCAAAACAGAAACTACTGCACCCTCTGTCAGGAAGCTCCGGCTTAATCCGTTCCGTCGGTCATGGCTGTGGCTACTGTGTTTCAAGACAGGGGGCTGTCAAACGTGTACGGTTTCCACAGGTTACAGCCGCAGATGACCCTCCGAGAATCTCCTTAGTCCTTTCAATTACTTCTTCGAAGCCACCGGCATCACAAGGGACGATGCCGTGACGATGCCTCGCCCTGGGAGATGTTGGACATCTTCGATATCCGCCCAGCGCCCGCATCCTGAAATCTAGTGTTCTCAAACAGCCGTTGTCCTTTGCTTTTTGTCGGATATGGGGACTCTTCTCGATTGTGGCCCCAGTGACTGGTGGAAGCTTAATTTCCCATTTCCGGTCGTACTTTTTGAGACTTTGTAAGGGTCGCACTAAGGTGTATCGAGTGACTCATGTCAAGACTGCAGCGGTATTAGGCATGACAACTTTCAGTGGTTATGGGTCCATGAAGCGCCACCATATCCACCATCAGCTTTACATCTTCCCTCACTGGGCGTTAGACAACAGCAGCAACGGCACCACACGGATATCGCAGTTCCACTACTTCAGTAGCAATCCGCATTAATAGTTTCTTCTTTGCATCAATTAAACTCACCTGAAACGGTGTGCATTGTCTTCAGTCGGCAGCTCGCGGCCTCAGACGCAAAGTGCAGCAACAAAAGACTGTGGTCCAGTTTCGGTAGCTTGATTGTAATGAACTTGCAGCATGTGCGTGCTTCATGGTCTGGGACATGTACGTCATGTACGCATTCAGGTTCGATTGGGTTGGTAGAGCAGCGAAGAGAAAAATACGTCCGGATAGGTAAATGCACTTTTGCGGGGCTACGGATAAGCCCCCAAGCGCATCTTGGCTGCAGCAACTGCTTTTTCAACAGCTCAGTGGTGCGTAGGACTTGTTTTTAGTACGGTCTCGCCGCAAATCTCCCTCCGAGAACCTCCTTAGTCCTTTCAATTACTTCTTCGAAGCCACCGGTATCACACGGGACGATGCCTCGCCCTGGGAGATGTTGGACATCTTCGATATCCGCCCGGCGCCCGCATCCTGAAATCTAGTGTTCTCAAACAGCCGTTGTCCTTTGCTTTTTGTCGGATATGGGGACTCTTCTCGATTGTGGCTCACTTTCGGTACCTTGATTGTAGTGAACTTGCGGCACGTGCATGCTTTATGGTCTTCGACATGTACGTATTCAGGTTCGATTGGGTTGTAGAGCAGCGAAGTGGAAAACTACGTTGCTGCGTTGATGCGCTATTGCCGGGGTACGGATAATCCCCCAAGCGTATCTTGGCTGCAGCAACTGCTTTTTCAACAGTTCAGTGGTGCGTCGGACTTGTACTGACAGAGATGGTGAGCTGATCCTAAAGAAGCGTTACGGTACCCCGGGACCCCTCAGTACGGTCTCCGAAGTCTACAGATGCAAGCGACCCTCCGAAAACCTTAGTCCATCCGCCAGCATCACAAGGGACGATGCCTCGCCCTGGGAGATGTTGGATATCTTCGATATCCGCCCAGTGCCTGCATCCTGCACTCTAGGTCTCGGGATAGAATCGGATAGAAGTTGTCCTTATCTGATAATCTGATATGGGGGCTGCTCCAGATTCTGGCCAAGGGCATACCAGCGTACTGCAGGTCACGGGCTAGAGCTTTCTTGCAGGTTTGCAATGCCAGTGGGATGCAAAACACGACAGCTTAGAACTGCCATGAACAACTGATGAAATCTGAACTGGCTCGCTGTAGGTCTAATTTCCAGAACAGGTCGGTTCCATCAGTGTTGGCTGAGTCTACCTTACTCTGCGTATCACGTGTCTTCGCAATACCGAAGCTCTAGAAACTTGTAGTGTCTCAGGGCAGGGTTTCGTTCAACTTGATTGCAGTCTATGGGGTCTGCCAAGATGTTGGAGACATTGTTTGGGCTCTTGTGCTGAAGCAGCTGAAGATAACAGCATTTGGGCATCCTTCCTCCTCAGAACCAATTTGAACTCCACACGTGACGCTTACCCCAAGGTCTCAGGATAGATTGGCGCACAATCTCCCGACAAGGGAATCTTTGTATGTACATATGGCAAGACGGTTTCTTCCACTCCAAACCTGATTCCTAAACCCTAAAACCCCTATAAATCCCAACTGCAAGGATTCCTGAAAGCAGCTAAGCACACGATTCATAGGGTGTAGCACTTCTGGTTTTGAATTTGATCTGATGTCCGCCTGAATCATCATGCAGGGGCGGGGCCTGAATAAATACGATAGGGTCTGGGTGTATATAGTATGCTTCAGGGACTCTAAGGGATTACGATCACTATTGGTTTATAGGCTTCTATACTTGACCCGATGCCGCTCCATCTCTTCGAAGGTGTTGGAAAACCAAGTAAAGCGAGTCGGCGCCTCGCGGGCAGAGGACACGGCTGGGAGATCACGGGTCGAGGCTTCAGGTCTTCTTAGTGCTTCATGGGCCTCTCGGTACTGCGAGGGAGACCAAATACTTGGCTTCTACATCGTTTTCGGTGTTCCTGTGTTGCGCGGCTCTATCTGTCAGTGTGTCTTCTGTGTTTGAGCTTGTCTCTGTCTTTCTCTGCCTGCCCTCACGCCTGCCTGCCCGCATATCTGCCTGCCTGTCGTGGCTGCCAGTCCTCCGTCTCTCTGTCTCTCTATCTGCTTGTCGCTCTCTGTCTCTCGGTCTCTCTGTCGTTCTGTCACTCTGTTTCTCTCACCGTCTTTCTGTCAGTCCGTCTGTCCGTCTGTCCGTCTGTCCATCTGTCGGTCGGCCTGTCGGCGTGTCGGTCTGTCGATCTGTCGGTCTGTCTGGCTGCCTGTAAGTGTGTATGTATGCTTATGTGTATGTGTAAGTACATGCGTATGTGTATGCCTGCGCAAATGTTTGTAAATGTACATTCATCTATTTGTAATTGTACGGGCATACATGCCTTTTCTCGGAACCCGAACGCCAAGTGAAACAAGCAATACCCCAAGCGCCAAGCAGAGGGCTTCGGGCTGGCAGTGCCGCGGGTGACGGACGAGATCTCGGCCTCCTCCTTCCCCTCATCCTCCGCCGGTGTGAGCAGGACGCTGAAGCCTGGCATCAATGCATAAGTTCATGGTTCGGGATTTTTGGGCTCTGGGGTTTAGTTGGGTCGGGCTTTTGCATCTTCGATCGCATCGGCGAGGCGCATTTTGGAGAAGCTGCGCGTCAGTATTGTAAGGAAACCCGCCAGGCCCGACGTCGATCCTGATCAGCCCCATGCAGCTCCAATACAAGACATGACACAACAAACCGCGTTTAAGCTATTGTTATCAGACTTCATATGCCGATATGCGGCTTCCAATAGCACCGTACCCACCGTACAAACACCCCTCGGACGATATTGATCGGTCAAATCTCTTCAAGTTTCAGCCCTTTGGCCCTTTGTCTTACGCCTTACGCACCCGCTGGAAGATGGCCTGCACCCGAACTCAGCTTCGAGACGCGGACGGGGGCGTCTGCCTCCCATGGGGCCACCCAAACTCCCAAAGTGCCTATGGTAGCCCAAATTTGGGACTGAAGGCCACTAGTGTGGGTAGTTAGTTTGAGTTTGCAGTATGAGTAAGGCGCCTGATATCAGGCTTGCTGAGGCTATATAAGCCTCAGCAAGCGAAACTGCGGGATGTCGGGTGTCTTCTTCTAATGTGAGTGGATGTGCTTATAAACATGAAATAAGGGCCCGCTGTTTGGCACTCCGAACTAGACGCCTTCCAGAACATATGCTCGCTGCAAGGCTCACGAACCACGTGCAAGTACCCATACCGAGCTGTCTGTGATAAGAGTCAAGTCCGGCGTTTTCCTGCCGCAACACGCAAGGCTGATGTTCTATACACCAGAAGAACTAACAACCCAAACACCTTCAACTCTAAATCCCAAAGCTTCCAGCCACAACTTCTTAAATCTGATAGATAAAGACCCCGATGCATGGCCCCTTTTTCGAACCTCAATGGTGCGATCGGGCTCTTCGCCTGCGGTTGCTCTTTAGGCTTAGGGTCTCGGGTCCTATCAGGTGCTTCTGCAAAGGCCTTTGCTAGGGCTCGAGCTAGAGGGTTGGGACTTCAGGACTTCAAAAGTTTTTGGAGTCAGGGTTTAGGGTTTAGGGTTTAGGGTTTAGGGTTTAGGGGTTTAGGGAACTTCTCTGTGCCCCCGAGTGCTTCCTTGGGATCCTCAACCCAACGCCTCGACCACAACCCAGAACCACAACCCTTCGATCCCAAACCTGAAACCCATGATCCATGTGCCGAACAGTGTGAAACAGAGTTGCTGGGCCTGAAGCCATCTTCTCTGGGCCAAAACTCAAACACCCAGATAACGTACTAAGGCCCTGTAAGCAATGCATCGCAACTGAAGATTCTTGACCGTCAACCTACATCCTACATCCTGAAGCATCAAACTGAAAGTGCACTAAGCGCGACACTCAGCATGCACCTCAACTGCAACCTCAAACATAACACCTCCCACTAAACACACACTCACTCCGAACCGTACACATATTCGCCACCTGATCAACGTAGCAATGTAGCAGGTCCGAGACAGTTGAATCTAAATCTACCCTTTCAGATCCGGAACACTCGCGACCTGCTTCCCCTGCATCGATGGCAGGCTCCTAGATGTCGCGCACAATCATGATCGAGGGAGGATGCTGTTTGAGCTCTGAGGGATCACAAACACATACGACAGAACACTTCGTCGTGCACGGTTTTGGTTTGAGGCGTGCGTTTGTACATGCACACATTCGCAAGAAAGATAAGGCTTAAAAACCCTTGTGCTTGTCTACACCTATATCTATCTGTATGAGCAGACATACCCAACCTTGTATGCTATCAGGTCCTGACTACTCGGACTCCATGCGAAACTTGGGTATGAACTGGCGTTGAAGCCCCTCCTGTCTGAGCAAGCAGATGTGACAGAGCAAGTAACAGCACAATGTTTCGATTTTCAGGCGTATGCCTGTACATATACACTTGCAGGAACAGGTGCTGCATATGCCTATGTGTCTACATGCATACCCTGTATGTTATGTTTTGTAATGTTATGTTATGTTATGTTATGTTATGTTATCTTATGTTATGTTATGCTATGCTATGCTATGCTATGCTATGCTTTGTTATGTTATGTTATGATATGAAATGGTATGTTATGCTATGCTATGCTATGCTATGCTTTGTTACGTTATGTTATGTTATGTTATGTTATGTTATGCTATGCTATGCATGCATGCATGCATGCATGCATGCATGCATGCACATATGTATGCATGTATGCATGTATGTACATGTGTTTGTATGTGTGTATGTATGTTTGTCTGTATGTATGTATGTATGCATGTATGTATGTAGTCGTGTATTACAATCATGTAGGAAATTACAATCGGCTGAGTGCTCGGAGGTTAGGGAAAGGAGCCTCCATGAAGATCTTTCGTCATACACACCATACACATACAATACGCAAAGGTACATAAGCAACATAGGTCGTGTGAATGCTCTCGTGGATCAATAATACGTACCTGCATCGATACATACATACATACATACATACATACATACATACATAAATACATACATATATACATACATACATACATACATACATACATACATACATACATACATACATACACACCTACACATCTACATACATACATACCTACATACAGACATAAGACACAAAGAGAGAGCGAGAGAGAGAGAGAGAGAAAGAGAGACTTCTATACCAATTCTGGGGATGCAGACCACGGTCTGAACAGGCAAATCACCTTCCTTTCTGAACAAACAAAGGCCACTGGCTCTGCATTTTCCTACGCGTCGCAGCTGTCCCGACGACCTTGCAGCATTTAGGGGTTCTCGCGAGTACGTGCCGTGATCCTTTTGAACAAGTTGGGGTACTGATGCAAAGGTGCCGGATTCAGGCCTTAGGGCGGAAGGCTGAAAGGCTGGTGCTATGAAGCTTCGTCACAGGTACTATACACCCGAATTCCGGATATCGTTCAGAGTCTGAGACTTAGATGTGCAAAACCCCGAAACGAAAGCCGAAACATAAGTCGAAACATAAGCCGAAACATGCACGCCAATCAATCCCCAAATCCCTCAACCCTGCCTCTGAGCTTTCAACATCTAGATCGCCCATCAAAGGTCTCAACCTGCGGCAGAAGCTGGTTGTGGTACACAAGATTTAGTAAACCTTAAACTAGAAGCAAATGCACAGCTTCCACAAGCTACGGACTCTCAACATCACAACAGACCTTCAGTCAGCACAACAGCACAGACAAGCACCCTAAACCCTAAACCGAGTCGTCAAAAATCCCGAGCCCTAGATCTTAAACCGCAAACAACAAAACACAGAGAGCTACGCTGAAACCTGTAGCTGCAGCTGAAGATCATTAATTAAAAAACCTCAGAGGCCACACCATCATAGGAGCCTCGAAGCCCTTTCCGTGGCTAAGTTCGGAAGTAGCCGGGGGTCCAAGGACTGGGTTGGATTGTCCCTGGCAAGACCTGTTTTTGCTAAGACTTTCAGAGGGTTTTCATGCTTGCCCAAGGACTGAGATTGCCTTCAGGGCTCTGCGGAATTGGCAAGGTTTTTGATGCTGAAGTGGGTGTGCATGGATTCAGGCCTTCGGGTTTCTACACAGAGGTTGTGGGCGCCCGATGACCAGTTGACCCTTTCTGGGTTCAGGATGTAAGCTTCCCTGCTCCGGGCTCGGGTGTTTAGGTTTGAGGTACAAGATTTCTGAATCAGGGCTTAGGGCGTGCAGTTCTTAGGGTTGAAGGGGAACCAGACATCGAAGAGAGGAAATATGCGACTATTTTTAAAACTGCGCGATCTCCATGATGGGGTTCGTGGTACATGAGGATCTTAAAGCCCTACGTCTACTTGTCCCGGCCACGGGTCATTCAGTCTTTGTTAGGGCCCCAGGCCCTGAAACATGGGTTGCCTTGTCCCCGAAAGGCCTGTCTCAACTATCTAGGCTAAACACTACATTCGGAACTGGGTTTTTCGGAGTGCAGAGGGTTCTCAATCCGGAGGTGCAGAGCTTTGCGGTGCTTGCAATCTAAATACGCACTCCGACCGCTCTCGCCCCGCAAATCCCAACATGCCAAAACCCGCCGTTCCGGGCCTCATGACACTCTGAGGACCCTGGGGGTTGAACACCCGGGGCCGCAGCTGCTGGGGACCTGCTTAAAGGAAACTACAGGTGGG